TATATATTAATTCACGTAACTTATAGTTACTTTATATATATATATATATATAGTTACATAAAATTAGATTTTCATTTGACCACTAAACCAAAGCGACTTAGAAACTTGAATGAGTTAAAATATTTTATATAATAGCTATCGAACAACAATTTATTAATATATACTATATCTTTAATTCAAAATTATATATTAATTCACGTAACTTATAGTTACTTTATATATATATATATATATAGTTACATAAAATTAGATTTTCATTTGACCACTAAACCAAAGCGACTTAGAAACTTGAATGAGTTAAAATATTTTATATAATAGCTATCGAACAACAATTTATTAATATATACTATATCTTTAATTCAAAATTATATATTAATTCACGTAACTTATAGTTACTTTATATATATATATATATATAGTTACATAAAATTAGATTTTCATTTGACCACTAAACCAAAGCGACTTAGAAACTTGAATGAGTTAAAATATTTTATATAATAGCTATCGAACAACAATTTATTAATATATACTATATCTTTAATTCAAAATTATATATTAATTCACGTAACTTATAGTTACTTTATATATATAATATATATATGACATAAATAAGGTTGATAGTATATTTTTTATTTGAAATTATATATTTAATTATATTATATATAAAATGTGTTATGTAATTTTTTTTAAAGTATGGTATGAATATTATTCAAATTTATTAGTATGAAATATGTATGACATGATTTTTTTTAAAAAAATAATAGAGATTAGATCATAGTTTAATTAGTGATCCATTAGTTCAACTTCTAACCTATTGATTTAATATCTTGACTGATTTGATGATTGATCCGATTTTTAAAACATTGTCTTAATTAATGACTTGGGTTTGATCCTTAACTTAGACATGTAATCTTAGTTTGAGGTATCATTTTACCCTTATAGGGGCCAACTTAAATTAATCATTGATCATTAAGTAAATGGTTCATGTGTATTGGGACCAAAGACATGAAACTCTTTATTTCCATAAAGGTTTTGATGATAACAATAGACATTAAAGTTTTATAATATGAGTTTTGATAAAAATGAAGTTTATATTGAATCTAAAGAAATTCAATACGTCCAATAAAAATTCCACTAGATCATCCAATGGTTTTAAATAAACCCAATGATTTTATTCTTGTTTTTAGTCTAAATGTTGGAATATGCTTACTTTGTGTAATTATGTTTAGCATTGATGGACTCGAAGCATGTATGAATATACCAAAATTCTTTAACTCAAGTGGTTTGACACATGTATTCCTTAACTAAGAATTGAGTTATCGAAAAAAAAATGAATATATGAATATTATATCATTTTTTGAGCAACTAATGTATATCTATTTTCAAGAAAGAAAATAATGTATTATTTTGTCTTGAGCAGAAAAGAAAGTCATCTATGTGTTAGTAATACTAATATGACAAAAATAATTTTATAAATATTTAACCAAAAACTAATATATACAAACCCACACTCCACAAAAACTATTGTAGCAATATTCTAGTTCATATTTGGCACTAAACGACAAAAACACCTATCATACCTCTCTACAACATGTAAAAAGAAGCTTCAATAACAAACACTTTGACCCCTCGCACTTGTCTCCCAACATATATTTTTCAAGGCTATATATGTAGAAAACCTTCAACAATGGAATCAACAAGTTTTTGAGATTGAATTATTGAATATCAAATTTCGTGAAGGGCCCCAACATAATAGTATAAGTTATCACATGGATATACTCAAGTTCTTTGAGTTGGAGATCTTTGTAGCCGTAATGTTATCTTAGAGTTGAGAGATCCTAAGTCTTTATAACCTTTATATCCTCATCCTTATGAGTTAAACACTTATAATCTTCAACCTTTTATGTAGTTAAGCATGGATAAGCTTATTAGAAAAAATTCATGGAAAGTTCAGTATAGTGTTTGTAATTGACAGTTTGTAACACCTAGTGAGGTTAAGAATGCTTTATTGTACTTTATGGTTGAGCAATGAATTCTTTTAGAAAAATAAGAACTATGTGTCACTTTTGAATAAAGAGTGAACCGATATAAAATTGTGTGTTTTCTCTCTTCTATAATCTTTTACGCTTTGAACAATATTTATTATATACTTTAATTGCTAATGCAATAACAAACTTAGATTGAAAAGGGTTTTAACAAAAAAAATATATATATAAACACGCAATTCAACCTTTCTTTTGTGTGTTATTTGTTGAATTGTAGCACATAACCATTCTTCTTTGCTTTTGGATAAACAATTGAACATAATTATGTTAAAAGTATTGAAGGATAATTTGAAAGAGTGATTGAACTAAGTCATAAGTTTGTACATTTCTCCGGTTGAAAGCTCAGAAGTTGTATCTTCACCAAAAAAAGAACTCATAATTGAACTTAGTTGGTAATGTAATTATGCATTTAAAGATTTATTTGTTGTCGATGACGTTTAGAAGTTGTACGTTCACCAAAAAAGAACTCATAATTGAACTTAGTTGGTACTGTAGTTATGCTTTTAAAGATTTATTTGTTGTTGATGACGCTTTCGAGTTTAATGTTGAACAAATATAGTTCATTTTGAAACTGAAACCGAATTTCACCAACAACTCTACAATCAATCATTAATCTCTTTTTGTCTTTCCTTCAACTTCCACGAACCTCCTTGTAAGGAATTTATTAAGGAATCTTCTTCAACTTCCATGAACATCCTTGTAGCATAACAATTGTTTCTTCATGTTCAAATTGCATCAATTGGCTTCCATCATTTTGTATACAGTTTTTGGATTTATGAATTTGAACCTTGTTTGAATATTTGCGTGTAACCTATATGTGAAATAAGCTATGAATTCTTGTTCGGACACCCTTGGTGTTTAAGATGTCATAAATTCGAACTAGTTAATCTATAAAGCTATTATATCATCTGTAAATAATTCAACCAAACTTTTGAAAACATTCTTAATTTGAAGTCCACGTAGCATTTGCACAACATTTCCTTCAATTTATCAGGCATATGCTCTGGTGGATATTATATATTGAAATGAATCAATTAATGATAAGTCCCTCCATGTATATCTTAGTAGGAAACTTAACCTCCTTAGACAAAAATCATTCATTTGCCTTGCTCCCCTCATTTTTTCCTCCAAAAGTCCCATTTGAAGGCAACAGAGTCCCTGTGATAATCATGACTATTTGTTATGTACCAAAAAAAAAAATATTCACTAGAAGTAACTTTGCATCTTTGCTTATATTTTTTTCTTGCTCCTCCTATTAAATCCTTTAATACAGCTTTTAGACATATCACTTGAGCATTAGTATCATTAGTCGTACATTCACCGACGTTGTATACAACATGGATTGTTGTAAATAAAAGACTAAAAATAGAATAAATTTTTTTAACTATATTATTTACTAAAATGAGAAATATTACAAAGCGTTTCCCTGTAATCCCCAAAGAAAATTTTAATGAGGCTTGGAGGGAAATTGTTCACCAAGAACATGTGAACAGATCTGTTGAAACTCAATTGAAACAACCAAATTTGGATGAAACCATAAAAAAAATTCCTAGCTCATGTAGGTATAATTAGTTTAGAAGACTAGGACAATGTTAATGTTACTAGTGATGCTTGACCCATGATGAAAATTGACCAAATGGTAATTTCCTCACGGCGTGAAAAAATAATGATATAGTTATAACCTCTCAACATAATTCTCCTTTAATTAATTAGTACCCCTCTCTATGACATACTTTGTGTTCCTTTATCCTATAACTAACTGTATAGCATCATTCTCACCTTCACTGTACCTCAAAGAATTTCCTTCTTACACTTTCTAGAGTAGACTCGCTAAATTTCATGGGCCTAGTAGAGAATCTGTCTGCAAAGGAACCGTACTTCACTTTCAACTACTTAAACCTCTAATTGGCTTTGTTCTGAGTACCTTAGTAGGGTCTTTTGTTCAGCTTTGGTGATGAAAAGGAATTCTTAAATATTGTCCGAAGTCTTCAATATTTTGGAATCTCAAGGCTTCACGAATTTACTGCCCCATCTTCCAATTAACAGTAGAAAATAGAAAGTAAGCAAATTTTAGTTTTTCTAAGATTGACTTTTGGCTATAGCTCTTTCATACTAAACCCAAGCCCATCTTGATAATTTAAACTTTATCCATACTTCGATAAAGAGAATAGATCATTTTCAAAGGCAAGATAGGATAATTTAGGGTCATCCTTGCTTAATTTAGAATTTGAAGTTGTAAGTGTATCATATTAGAAAGGACAATTTGATACTGAGAATGCGATTTAACTACGATTCTAAATATTATTTTTTACTTATACTCTCCTTCATGCCAAAAGGATTATGAAATTTGCCATACAGTTATATACACATGGAGGTAGGCAGCTGACGGATCTAATAGTAAAATTAAGTTCGCCATAGAATTTTGTCATTCTCCTTTATATCCTTTAATTATTTACTATCTAGCAAAATTTATGAATATCTATAGAATAATAAACACAATTTTAACAAAATAGTTAAAGTTATACTATGAAATTTTAGCAAAAGAAGATATTTCGCTTTAGGGTGCATCAGTAATCTTGGATTTTGCTAAGCCAAACAATTGTTCAATCGCCTAGAAATATGTAAAATCATTACTTTTGAAAATAGTATCGTAGAAGAAATTCCTAGGCAATCACTAATTCTAGTTTCTATTCATTTTCAAAAACCAATAGCATTAAAGCCTTTTCCCTTAGAAAGAGTATTCCTTGTTAACATGTTAAGACTATAGTCCACAACGCATTCATATCTGAAATTAAAATGGGAAGCTCAAATCATCTAATTACTAGCCTACTACACATTTGATAGATGGTATCTGCATCCTTGCTTAGATCTGGTGAATCTGATTGCAAGTCAGCTTCAACACATACAGTTAAACTAGTCAGGAGTCAAACTCCAGTCAAATAATGAAGCACTGAATACAGATTGAATCAGTTATTATTGATGAGATGTTGGCGCGTTTAAGAATTCAATGAACATTGCCTATAAATATTTACACAATTATCATTAGTCTATAATCTATATTTACAAAAAAGAGGGGAACGATAATATTCCAATTAGTTTACAAATTAATCCCTGAAGAATCTAATGTTGGCTTTCGCTCCCTGCTACCTGGAAGGGGAAAACATCATTTTCTTCAACCTGACAAGTGCAAAAAAATTCCAATCAGCCAGGATTAGAAAAACTAAATATAAGCTTTTATTGTCACACTTAAAAATAAGAAAGAACTACTAGAATAAGGTACAATGTTGAATGGTTGAATGCTAAAGCTAATTGTCTCCAATTATGAATGTTAAGACTTCAGAATTATGATACATACTGGTAAAACATAAGCTGGCAGCTTTCTTCAGTTCAAAAATTTAATCAAATGGCTCAGGTGCATGTGCAGATAAAACTCAGGCCAAGATCAATCTTTTTATTAATTTGAATCCACCAGTGTTGAACCTTTCGAAGTTAAACTTGAATCAGTTCAGTTGCATCCTTGCAATATATCAATTCTTTCATGCACATTAAGCAAATTAATCACAAGAAAATTACCCCAAAAAGAAAAAACAGGATGGGGTAGTTAACGAGAAGCATAAAGCAGTAACAGTTAGTTCCATAACCAATAACCATATTCTATAACCAAATTAACACTTGGAACCCAAATTAGTGCTGCTTAGCACGTGTTTAAATTAGTTTATTTTGGGGACAAAAAAGCTTTCAATCAAAAGCTTCCAAAGAGAGTTATTGAACGAAAAATAAAATGAAGTGATTATTTTTCGAAAAGTGTTTACCAAACATGCACTTTGTAAAGGTAGGATTACTAAGCCCATATCAATGGGTGAATTCTTGTTAACAACTCTGAAAATAAAAATTAGTTGAAAGGGGTCATACAGAAACTGGAAGTCTGTTGCAGATGAAGATCACTTCCTTTTAGCATCTATGAACATGGCTCGAGTCCAGTGCTCAACATCCTCACTTTGCGATGGTGGGGGAGGAAAAGTGGGATGCTCAACAATATCCCACCCTTCAATTAGGCACTCATTTTTGCCGTCAGATAAATCAGTGGCGTAAAGAAAACTAGCAGTAGAACTTGGCAGATAATTTTCAATTCTCTGCAAAAAAAAAAGAAAAGTATAAAATCCATTTGTGATTAACAAATATCCAAACTTCACCAATGGACAATGATAGTAAAAATGAAAATTCCCATTACTGGAAAATGATAAGTTATACTGGAAAATGGACACAGATCCTCGGTATTCAAGTAAAACTAAGTATCGTAAGTTGCAAGTATTATTTTTGCGTACAGATGCCCTATTTTAGGGACGGTGATTTAACTGTTGTACATATAGTCCTGCTCCACACAAACCAAATAGAAGTGAATTTAACGAAGGCATACTTTTAGAATGTAGGAAGTTAGTTAAGACAGATAGGATATTAGTTACATAGTAAGAGTGTGAGTGAGGTAAAAAAGTAGAGAAATGTAGGGGAAATGATTCATTCAGACTGGTATGATTTGAGAATTGAGCTCTGCTTTTTGTGAAGGGAAAAAACCCTTGGAGGAGAGATCTCTCCTATTTTGTGTTCTTTCCATTCAATTTACTTTTCTATTTCGGTTCCAAATGTACATAATTATAGAACTTCCAAATCAGCATTCCACCACAAGATGGGAAAAAAAAGAATGCTTGCAAAGATTAAAACATAATGGTGGTTAAATTAACAGACAAATATTAATATGCAAGTCCAGGAAGAGAGCAAACTGCAGCCTGCTTGATTCTGCTTTACATAAGCCTTTTAAAAGAGGGTGTAACTAGAACACATATGCAGATCTCTAAAAGGGCTTTATATGTTAACTTGGAACAAACTTGTATTCGGTGAATATTGAAGTATTACAGTAATGAAAAAAATTTCACACTGCCAGCATTTTCTTCCAAATTAGAAGTGAGAGAGAACCTTACCGTTGTGGGCATAGAATGTGCACTTTCCAGCAAAGTAGTTGACGAAATAGCAGAATTCATATTCCATATAGATTTGTTCAATTGTTGAACTTGCTTGCAAGTCCTGAATCAAATGAAAAAGGAGAAATAATTTCATGCACAATACTATCTGCATGTTATACAAGTGGATGTTACAGCAAACTTTGGGTGAAAATCATAATGCTACTGCACACAGAAACCATTTTACTCAAAAGGGAGAAGCCTTCCCAAAAAAAAAAAAATCAATTATCTGGTTCAGAGGCCCAAGTTACATGGTTCTTCTGATAACCAGTTTCAATAGCAAGGGAAGTTAGACGTACAAAGGGAAGAGAAACAATTTAGATACCAAGGATATTCAAAAACAATTTAACATAACCAAGTGCATCTCCTGAAACATCAGATAAAACTATCCTTTTCATAATTTCTTGTAAAAAAAGCAGAGCTAGAAGAGGTGTTAGAAGCTGCAGCCTAGATCACTTGGGTGCAGGACAACAAGTAAACAACTACACATATTTTTATAGAATACAGGTTGTAAAGAGATAATTAAGACATGTTTTACGTAGTTACACAATTTAACAGAATAATTATCTCCTCGTACACAAAATGATTGCATTGAGAGGAGATATTGGCGTGTAGCACCTATTGTTGGAAAATTGACAGAAAATCAGTTAAGGTGGTTTAGACACATGCAAAGGTCATTGGAAGCACTCATAAGGAATTTAGATTGCATAATTTTTAGTCTCATGAAAAAGGAGGAGAGGGAGACCAAGAAGAACATTGGAGGAAGTTTTTACGAGCAATCTCATGGTAAATAATATATCAAAAGATTTGGCCTTTAACCAGGACAAACGATGTCATGTGATCCATGTAATTGACCTCACCTAGTGTGATCAGGCATTTGTCTGATGCTTCTTAAGACATTAGAATGATGTCAGAATAAGGTTAATTTGTAAACATTTAGCAAAATTTGTACAATGTGCATAAAGAATCATGAATATATCCATTTTATGGCACAAGAAATAAATATAACAATACCTAGAGCGAGCCATTTTCAAGGAAAACACAGATCGAACTTCCTTGGATGATGAGAGTGTAGCCAATAACTTTGAAAATGCCTCAAATGTAGATGCCTCAGAAGGGACATCCAAACATAGGGAGTTGTAACAGTAAGCAGTGATGCATGCTACACTTTTCTTTAAAAGTGAAATTCCCTTCTGCAAATCCTTGTGTGTTTGAACAGAATGTGAAGACGCTAAAGAATAGTTAAAGCTAGAACTCCCAGATGAATCTAGGTGATGCCTCCTCTCAGATTCCATTGAAGCAACTCCAAAATTGCTTGAGCTTCTATCAGACCATGAGTTTTCTCCACTAGTAGAGCAATAATTTTGGCGAGGTATAAAAAGGGGATATTCATTGCTGAAAACAAGAAAGTATATCGGGTTAATGTAGTTATTTCCTGATAAACCATGCAAATATAATTTCAGCCAAAATACCTCCTTGAGGAAGGACGTGCATCCCAATAAGAATCGCGTTGCCATATCCGAGAGCAAGAACCCTGAGGTGAAATTAAAAAATAAAATATTCATTGCAATTGCAAATTTACTATAATATCTTCCAGACCAGAGATGAAAAAAAAAATACACAGAAAGTGTACCATTAAGCCTATATAGATGGATGGGTAAGCCATCAAAAATAGATATGAAAAAGTAAATGATAATACTAGCACCAAATAGACAGCATAGGGATCCACAAAGGAATAATTTTATGTGGATAGATATGAAAAATGCTCGAAACACACTATTATTGATTATAAATTATTGAAAATCACAAAATTTTGTGAACATAACTTGTTTAATGAGCTTCACTCATGATGAGGTATTTTACAATATATTTAACCAAAAGTAGAGTGTGTTAGGAGTGTTTTACTAGCACTCCTCAAGTTAAAATTGTATCAACATTCAACATGTGAATTTTAATGCTATTTTAACATTCAACAGCCATCTAATGATGATAGCCAAGATAACCATGGGCATGCTTGACCTGAATATTTTGAATGTTATAAACCATGGTCTTCAAGGAAACATTACTCAATCGCATAGACACTGTCACGATGCTTACCGCAAAACCTGAGTTATGAAGTGCTGGGGCAGCCAAGTTGTGAACAATAAGATTTAGAAGTTGCACCATGTATCTGCTTTGCAAATACAAACATGAAAATAAGTGGTTACTATATAACAAGAATATTCAAATTTCTATAACAATTAGAATTTTTTACCACTGGATGAACTAACTGAAAAAAGGATTTGAAATATGTACTTACAAACATTGACATGAACATTTAATACTATTTTCAGAATAAAATGAAGTGTTGTCTACATAGGCATTTCACTTGCAAAAATGCACTTTGTATGCACATAAGACCTCAGACAAAAGGAAAAAAAATGCCCACCCCAAAGAAGCAGAAAGCTCTTCTGATGGAACGGAGTGGGGATCAAGAGCTCTGGGTAATCGTGCATTGCAAATTTGATCATAATGACCACTGCAACCATCCCTTCTCTCTTCTTCTATGACCACCTGAAATGAGAAGAACATGAGCATCATAGACATGTTTGGGAGGGGTGTAATAACAGAGCAGTATGACACTATAATTGACTTCATTCTTATGACATCATACAGTGGTAGAAAATGATTGTGAAACAATAAATTACTTCGGACAAAAAAAAAACTCACCAATAAAGAAAATAGTTGTCTTGTATCTCTCATGTTTCTCCCAAAGGGAATTTTATTTTTCTTAAATTTTAAGCACATCAACAAATCATTCAAATCTTTATTTTCCTCAGTCAAAACACTAATCTCAATAATGTTTAGTATTATTACTACCACTTCCTTGAGCAAATACATATAAAAGAAGAAATAAAATTTTAAAAAAATCTCAAAAAGGCAAACAATTTGTAAAGCATGAAATCATTTTTCTTGAGATATTTCTAAATAACAATTTAGGACTTGTAATATGCAAGAAAAAGGAATTATGCAGGTAGTTATAATCAAGATACTAAGGATCTGAAGGGGAGAAGCATAGTTATTAATCCACCCAGATAGCAGTGTGGAGCAGCCGACTCCAAAAATGGGATTGCGGGATACTGCTATTCTAATTTATATATATATATATATATATATATATATATATATATTAAATAATTATAATACATATAATTAATAATATACATATAAAAATAGAAATGTAACTTAATTTATACGTTAAATATTTCCAAGACCTAAACAAACATTAGTGATCTAGATAGCTTTGGGGAGTAGTAGTAGTACACTCTTGTCAAAGATAGGGAGCATCGTACAATTAAGCCACCTACCAGGTATGGCTTTGAAGATCTAGTTTCTTTTGCACTTCTCACCAGTTTAGTAGATTCATCTAACTTTCAAGAGGCTATAAAAATTAAAAAGTCAAGAGAAGGATAAATGGATGGGTGCCATGACGGAGGAGATGGAGTCTTTACATAAGAACAAAACATGGGAGTTAGTTGAGATTCTTGAGGACAAACGAACCATTGGATCCAAATGAGTGTTCAAGAGGAAACCTGCAGTATCAAGAAAAGAAGGGGAAAAGTTCAAGGATCGTCTTGTAGCAAGGTAGTATTCACAACAGCAGGGGTTTGACTATGATGAGATTTTCTCTCCAATCATAAGGCATACTTCTATCATGGCAGTGTTAGCCTTGGTAGCTAGCGTGATATGCATTTGGAGCATATGGATATAAAGACAACTTTTCTTCATGATGATCTAGAACAGCAAATTCACATGGAACAGCCAGAGGGATTCAGTGAAACTGAACAAGGTCGATTGGTTTGTAAATTGAAGCGATCTTTGTATGGTTTAAAATAGCCTCCAAGGCAATGGTATGAACGATTTGCTTCCTATATGCTTCGCATCAGCTATAAGCGTTGTATGATTATTGTGTTTATGTGAAGAGTCTTGATGATGGTTCTTTTATTTTTCTGCTACTATATGTTGATGATATGTTGATTGTTGCTAACCATTGGTGTCATGTTAATGAGTTAAAAACCATGTTGGCCTAGGAGTTTGACATGAAGGACTTAAGTTCGGCCAAGAAGATTCTTGGGATGAATATTCACATGGAGAGGAAATCAAAGAGACTCTGACTCTCACAACAAAGCTATGTTGAGAAGGTTTTGGATAAATTTGGCATGAGCAATGCTAAGTCAATGAGTATTCCATTAGCGAATCACTTCAAACTTTCTTGGGAATAGTGCCCAAAGAAAGATGTAGAAATGAAGTATATGTCAAAGGTTCCCTATGCCAGTGCAGTTGATTGCTTGATGTATGTTATGGTTTGCACTGGACCAAATTTGGCACATGTTGTAAGCAAGTCTATAAGTTCATGTCCAAGCCAAGCCATGTAAGCGACATTAGGAAGCAGTAAAGTAGATCTTTAAGTTCCTAAAAGGCACAATAGGTCATGGTATTATGTTGGCAATCAGCAAGATGATCCTTCAGTTGTGGAATTTGTTGGATGACAGGAGGTCTACGACAAGGTATTTTTTACTCTTATAAGAGGACCTATTTGTTGGAAATCAACATTTTACTCAATTGTGGAAATCTCCACAACCAAAGCACATTACATGGCAATAGCAAAGGTTAGTAAAAAGGCCTAGTAGTTTACAGAGCTAGTAAAAGAGTTGGGCATTAAGCAAGGTAGAGTTCAATGGCACTATGATAACCAAAGTGCTATCTACCTGGCAAAGAACCTGTTGTACCATGCTAAAACTAAGCATATTGATGTAAGGTTCCATAAAATCAAGGAATTGTTTACATCTAATCAGATATTGCTTAAGAAGGTTCATACTTCTAAGAATGCAACTAATATGTTAACCAAGCCAGTAATCACTGACAAATTCAAATGTTGCTTGGACTTGTTAAACATTTCTCACTGCTAAAGACAAATGTAAACCCCAACCCAAGAAGTATATGAGAGATTTTTGTTGTTATCTCCCAAGGGGCTTGATATTTGCCAAGGTGGAGATTATTGTGCAATGTGCATGATTATGCATGGCTCATAATTAAGAATGGGCTCACAAATGCTAGAGTGGAGCACATTGGATTTGGGTCGTCTATTGTGTTGAGTTACAAACTAATTGGGTTGGAGGTGCATGGTTATGCCCTCATAGTTTATATATATTTGATATAACCCTATTTTTAAATAATAATAATAGAAATACAGTCACTTTGCTTCCGAGGACATAGACACATTGCTGAACATCGTTAAATCGTTGTTTGTGTGTTGAGTGTTTTATTCTTTTCTTTTAGAATCCAATTGATATTGCTAACAAGATCCTATCTAAATAAAAAACTCTATTTTAACATACACACGCATGTGAGCATGCGCATATAAAATAAGATATGCAAAAAATACGAAACCGTTAAATCACTACTAATATTTGATTCATGATATAAACTTAAATTAAAAATGCATAAAGTCACACACAAAGGAACATTTTCACAGAGTAAAACACAAACAGAGAAGAACCAGGTCTACAATGATATGAAAGAAAAAATATATTTTTTTGGGCAGCAGAAGCAAGAATCATGGGACAAAAACCAAAAGGTCAAAGTCAAACACAGAAGTAAAAGATCCACAAAAAACAGAGGTGAACTATGAAGATCAATGACAAAGAGGAACAGAGATCAATGATGGACTAAGAGCAGTCGAGTGATGGAAGGAGGTCAGTGATACACTATCTTCCAGAGTGATTCCACTGATTGCCTTAAAGTGACAAGAAGGAATTGGTATAAAAAATGTTTGAAGGACAAATCGTGAGCTACCAATGCAATTATCTATTACAAATTTACAACACACATGATTACTGTAAAGAATTCAAATCCCATTACATTCTATCCCTAGAGGCAGTAGTAAGCACAATATTCTGAGAATCTCAATTGGAAATTGAACTTCATAAATCACATAGTTATTGAGATAAACCAACAGAAAATTGATCATCAGTTTTTTACCCGGCGTTGAGGGAACAACTTGCAAATCTGTTTTATGACCACAGACTGTTTATGAAGACGCTCAGAGGTAATCGCCACCTGCAAAATAAAAATATAAGGATAAATTTTGAGGTTCCTAGAAGAAACAATGGATATTCCATATATGATCTTAGAAAGAAAGCAACAAAGGAATATAAACTTTCAACCTTGACATGTGATTGAACAATGAACATTAAGGGAATGCAGAAATGCAGACTGGTTTTAAATACTCATTTTTATATCATAATGTTTTATGTGGAAAATCCGGTCTTAGAATATAATAACACACAAAAACAATATACAAATATTGGAAGTAAAATAAACAAACAGTGCTCACATGCCCTAAGCTCTGGGTGCATATAAGATTAGGGTAGAACTTCTCCAATTGTTCCACTCGATTCTTTTCCAACTGCAAAGAGTAAAATAAATCATTCAGCATCTTCATATACATTCAAATTAAACTTGACCAGTAATAGTCATAACCATAGCAATAGCATTAGCACGGTAATGTCAAAAACAGTAACCAAAATACCGTAGAATGGGCAGATTCAAGCAACCCATATTTAATTTTCAGATCCGCAGACATAGTCTCTATCTTAGCTCTTCCTGTAATATTACTCACTATTTTAGGTTCAAAGAGTGAAATTTGCATCTACAGAATTCATGTTGGTATATGAAAGTTTCCAACCTTGAGTAACTTGTTCTTTACTATGAAGAAGCTTCTCCTTCAACCTTGCAAGCTTTTCATGTTGAAGCATCCTCCAATTTGCTTGATCATCTCCCTTTCCCTTATCGACATTACACGCAAAAGAATTACTTGAACTGAATAGAATACCAATGTCATAAGGTGCATTGCAAAAATATAATGTAGAGCACACTAGCACTTAATGGGAAATTACAAGCTAAATAGAAGGCCAAAAGCAATATAAAAAACCAGCCCTAAGATTCGTAGGAAAAGAAAAAGGTAGTATCATAAGCATGCAAAGTAAAAGGCATAACCAACAATAATTTTTCATAGCCATGTTATTTAACCCCTTGAGAGTAACTTAATAGGTTGGGTTGGGAGCAGGAATAGGTATTAGTTTTGACCTAGCTCTGCTCCTATATGGCTGCCATAGTACAGGTATAATACATTCAGCACACTTGGGAATTATTTTCCCTTAACTTCCACAATTGAATTTTAGGTATGTTTTACTTGCTTGATGCATTTATTTTACTATTTTTCATTTTACATATATATATATGGTTTATATATATCCATACCCTAAGCTTCAAAAATTTTGTTGCACTCCACGCTTTAAAATACAATTTAAAGAGGATCATATTCATTTTCAATACTTCCTTAACTTAGTTAGGAACATGTGTTTTATGAGTGTAACAAGTCAAGCCATAATTCAAACCTTACGAACAAGAACATCGCTCAATTTTGAGTACAACGAATCTCGACGGTCCTTCAGTGATTTTAAGGAAGTATTATACTCATTCAACCTGCCAAGATAGAAACACCATCAAAATCAAAACAATCAATCAAATAAAAGAAAACTAATAAATAAAAAAAATTATATAGGTAGCATGTTGAGCTTGATTGACGAAGTTCCAAAACCTAAAGCAGAAATTAATCAAGTAATTCAATAATGAATTAATTAAAGCATATACCTGTAGTTGACACATATAGAACATATGGAAGCTTGATTCGAATTCTCGCATATGGCACAGTTAGTGATTTTTCTGGCCATCTCCAGTGTGTCGATGAAACTTTCGATTTCGGGAGTTAGCGAAACAAAACTACGGAGGAAGTGCGATTTTGTGTTGAATAGGGTCAATTATCGGTTTCGGAAACGCATTGAAAATGTGGTGAGTGGGAAGAAACGAAGGGAAAGTGAAACTTGGAAAACCCTAACAGAATGAAGAAGATGATCGCGGAAGCAATGCCCACCCACCTGCTGGTAATCTTAGGATCAAATCCTCTTTCCGTTGAAAATATCATAAGATAAAATCATAATCCCTTTTTTTATTAATTAACTCTCAACAAGGGAAAGATTTATCTGGTTTTAGGAATTTAAAAATTTTAAAAATATATGTATCATACATCATACATTAAAATAAATATTGACCGCTTAAAAACATAAATGTTTCTTTTTATATTTATTAAATTATTAAATTATAAATGAGATATTTTTCAATCTTTCTGACAATACTTCTTAAAAAATTAAATTACATAATAAAATAATTCTTCTATATATAAATTATAACTGATATTTTAAGTTATAAAATATACAAGATAAATATTTATTATATAATTTAAATTTATAATAAATTATATTATATTTAAAATTTATTTAAATTTAAATTATAATTTAAATTTATAATAAATCATGTAATTGTGAAAATTATAATACATGGTTATAGTAATTAAGAAAATTACAATAAACTTATCTATTATTTTTTAACTATTATTATATTATATTATAAAAAAAATTATCTATTATCTTTTAACTATTATATTATATATAATATAGAAGAAGATTTTGTCACATAGACGAGTGTTACATAAAAGTTATATATTAATTTTTTTCTTCTTAAATATCATCAAATTTTTAATTTATTTTAATTCATGTCATTCATAAAAATACATAATTATAGTAATTAAATATATTATGATAAATATAATATGATTTATATGATTTCAACATTCAAACTAATAATATAAATATGCATTTTGTAAGATATGATTGACTTCTTTCTTCTATTTTCTCTGTTCTATTACATTTTCTCCTAAACTCTTCCTTATTTACCATTTCCACAATTGATCACTAAAAAGTTAAGGAAAAAAGCTCCGGGGTTGGGAACTTCGAGCAGTGGTGTGCAGGGGTCGTCTTCTCCATTCTCTTCTTCTTCTTTTATCTCAAAGTTCTTTGTTCTCTTTTTCTTCCTCCTCCTTGTAGAGCTAAGAATTGAGGTAAGGGAAGCTAGAATTTTCAAGTTTTGATTGAGACGTTAGGCTGTTGAATGAATTAAAGGTAGAATTAGTTGTTGGGATGGATTCAAGGGGGTTGCATGTTGAATATTGGGGGTTTTGATGTTCTTGATGTGAGGTCAAAATGTGATTATTTCTTTGAATTGTGGTTTTGCATATTGTTTCTATGGCTAAAAATAAATTGTTTTTGATGCATATGTGTTGTTTCTACTATTGCATGTCAGGCTTGCCTGAGTTTCATGTGTGGAGAGCCAAAATTGTGAAAAAAAAATTGTTGTAGTCTCTGTCATCAAATTGTTGAGGAGTTTAGGGACTGCTTAGCAAATTTGGGGTCGCGAATCAAGGGTGTCTTTGGAGACAAAGCGCTAAGCGCTTTTGAAGGCACTGAGCGGATCAGTTGCCTTTCGAATTAGGCTTTGTTGTCTTTATAAAAATTGTAGCCTTAGATGTTAACTTTCAAATGGCATTAAAATCACCTAAAAAGGAGGTCTAAAACTCCAGTTATGACCTTTTTAGTGAATAAAAGTTAAGTTGTCAACATTTAGGTAATTATTGCGATTTTTACAATTTTTAACATGATAAAGGATGAAATTATAACCTTAGTTCTTCATGAAAGTTGTAGAAAATTTTTTTGTCTTTCATATGAGATAAGAATAAGCATGATAGAAGTAGAAAAACTCCCTATGAGTTGTTTTATGTGAAGGTTGTCATTTCACAAAAAGTGATTTGGTTAAGTTGTATTAGTTGTTGATAGATAATTAAGTTGTAAGTTGTTCTAGTATTGCTTAAGTTGATTTATGATGTTGTTTTCTTAAGATGTTAATGTTGTAAAGATGTATATTGTTTAGGTTGACATGATGTTAAGTTGAAAGTTGAATCGAGTAGTATGTTGTGAAGTTGTGTAGTTGTGTTAAAATTTTATATGAATAATGTTGATGTGTTGTTGAGATGCATGTTGATCATAGTGTTGTAAATGAGTTGTGATGATGGTGATATGAGTTGAAAAGTTGTGTGTTAAAAATTATAATGAGTTGTTGTGTTGTTGAGCTATGTTGATCACTTATGACTAGAGGAGATATTTTCAAAAGTTGCACATCCCATTGTGTGGATATTGTGTTGTGGTGCTCCGAGAGTCTAGTTTGTTGAAAAAGCCTTCTTAGAAAGTTGACCCTTAAAGTGGATATTGTGTTATCTTTCCTTTAAGACTTTATTGGTATCGTGTGTTGGCAAGGTCGAGACACATGTGTATGAAGTGACCACAATATGTCAGGTTGAACTATACTGATTACAATTAACCAACCGAGTAAAGTACGAAGTCGATAACTTAGTTTTTAACTAAGTATCAGAATGTTGTAGTATTTGGAAGATAGTTCATGGGCTAATTCCATAAGAGACTTAGTTAAGTTAGTTAATGTTGTGGTAGGCTCGTACCCAACTGTTCTATCTTAACATTAGACTATACGTCATTGTTTAAGTGGCGACATCCAAGAAATTGAGTTGCTATGTTGTGAACTTATATCCAATTTGTTGTTGATCTAGCAAACTCGAAAAGATCACCCTATATTATCGATTCGGTAGGATCAAGCCACTTAAACTGCTCATCTTGTGTTGTAGGAGATCTCCTAGTTAAAATGTGTGATGACGCATATTATTGTTGTGTTGAGTATATGTTGTGTTGAATTGTGATGACATGTGTATTGTTGTGTTGATTCAAAGTTGGCTTATGTTGATCTGTGTTGTATGTTGTGATGCTTGTTGTTGTGTTGTCAAAGATGAAATGATAATGTGATATTCCATCGTTGTATGTATATATATATA